ACCATTCTATGATTCTATGACTCTTCCCCCAGTGGGTACTCAAGCTATGGAACTCCCTGATACTGAAGGCTACAGATGTTATAAACTTACAGGAGTTCAAACCGGAAAAATTTATAGGAAAAAAATCCATCAATAGGTATTACAGAAAAATACGTTGTTTCATGCAGGAAGTCCTGAAACAGACAACTGTTGTAGGCTGGAGGAGCACATGAGAGAAGTATCATAATATGTTTTTCCTGTAATTCAATTCTTTCTAGATAACTGCAATTGGTCATTATTAGAGACAAGATGATGGTCTACGTGGGTGTTTGACTTGGATAGTAAGGCTGGTATTGTGTTCTTTGGTACACTAATGAAGTGAAAAATAAGGTATCTGAAGAAATTCAACACAGTTTAAGACTCTACAAACCAAACACAATATTCCTACTTATGTCAGTGATGGCAATGCATAGATCAAGGGGGGTTCAAGCTATGGATTATTATTCTTCACATCACAAAATGGGAATTTACATGGGTAAATATAATTAGAAATAAATTAGAAAAAAATAATCAGAACTTTCCCATTAAGTACTGGTCCTATCATAAGAAAAAAGTGGGGGGTAGGGGAGTGGAATATGGTTGCTTTTTAGAACTCAAAGTATCAACCAACCAAAAGAATTATTAAATGAATGCCTTACCCATCTGCTATATTTCAACGGTCCTGTGAAACCCATTGCTTCTATTATCCTTGTGAAAGCACCCACTTTCTCTTCAGATGGCTGCAAGGAATCTTTTGCAGAAAGATGCTGTGAAATTGAAATATCACATATTTCAGACTTAGAAATTAAATCTGACAAATCACTTGAGTTAGAAAAAGTACAAGTTTAATAGAGAATTTTAGGGAGTTTATTTACTTTCTTTGTTCAACAAAGCAAATACAGATTTTGGTCTTCTTTGCAAAATATTACACTTTTTTTCCTATGTGATATTCTTCCATTTATGAACACAGACATTGCATAGCCATTTAATAAAAGCATCCCATTGGAAGCTCAGACAAACAGTTTGTACAGAAACCTGCTTTCCAAATTATGGCTCCTATTCTAGATTCCCATATTCTTTCTAGATATGTCTTTACTTGGGCTTGAATTTTTTGCAGATAAAACAAGCAAACAAATCATAGAAACAGAGTAAATAAAGCTAATCTTTCACATTCCCTCTCATATTGACACAGGCATGTAATATTCTAGAGCAATTATATACTATATAAACCAATCAAGTCCATCTTAAAACTAATTCTTACTGTTCTTACTGAAAAGCTCCCCCAGACAGTTATTTCCCTTACAGTTAATCTAAATGGTACTGACAGAAGTTTTAGATCAAGGAAGTATTTAGTCCTCAATGATTTGCAGTGTCTGCAAACACAACAATAAACATTCCCTTCCAGGTTAACTACACACTTTAAACACCACTGGACTGGTAAGAAATCTTCGTGGCATTCTGCCTCTGAGCATCCTGACAATAACAATCAGCTGTCAGTAATTACCATTTGTTAAGTACGGAGTAAAATCACGTTTTTATCAACTAATAGCTTTTAACCCAACTAATGCATGTGAATCTCCTACATATACTTGAGGAATGCAGCTGAGAGCCATTATAAACTGAGAAAGCTCCCTGACCAAAGAATTGTTAAATTGCTCTAAGTTGCTGGAATTTCACCCTAAACACTTCCTCATAAGACATGAACATACTAAGAAAAGAAGCAATTGGGAAGCAATTTGGCAGCATCAGGACTGCCGTACATGGCCAGAAGAGACAGACCAGGATGCCATCTCTACACCAAGAGCCAGTAGCAAATACATGGATGAGACACAAAAGCAGAGGAATATGGCGCACACACTAGGGCTTCCTGGGGTGTTACCTGCCCAGCTTTTGACAGCCATTCCTGCCCTAGAAAATGTATCACACATTCATTTTTGGCAGCTACAACTGGACCCACCTTCAGCACCCCAGCATTTGAAACTATGTAACCTCCATAACACACAGAACTGTGGTACATGAGTTTCACAGTTAGGTTTAAAAAAAAAAAAAAAAGCCCTCGCGCCTGTTTAAAATCCAACCTTGCCATTTCATTGGATGCTCCAAATTTTCCTATAAGAAGCCACTAACAACCATTTCCTATTCCTTTTTTCAGTACCTGTTAAAAGTCATAGACTTTTATAGGCCAGTATCATTACGTATGCCCATCAGCTCTCTCTCCTTAGTTTATAAGTGTCCTAAAACAGCCTCTTCTCATACTGAAGGTTTTTCACATTTCTGATCATTCTGGCTGTATTCACTATAGCTTTTGAAGCACTAGTATAGCAATTTCTGAAATGGCATGAAGAAGAAATAAATACATATTAAAATACAGACACATACCCTGCAGAAGTTGCTATACTTCACTAAAAAAAACTAACTGTAAAGGTAACAAAAGTTGTACCTTTGAAACATAATAAATCCCTACGTATATCCACAGACGAGCTTCAGCATTTGAGATAAAGCGCTTTGCGCTTGTACACTATCCTTAGATGGCTATTAACGTCTTGAACCCCATCATGCCTAGTATTCAGGTAAATAGGAAGAAACATGCTCAGTGCCATGGTAGTATCTACCAGTCACCTAGTAAGTCAGCACAACACTGTCGTGATTTCCTTTAATACTCAGCTCCTTGCTTTGAATGTTGGCCATTAAACCTGTTCATCGCGTCCCCTATTATGACCAAGAACAAGTGTCTGCAAAGGCACTTTCCCACCCTCTGCCACAAGTGACGAACCCAGTTAGTCTCCTGACATGTACATGAATATTTAAACCAATTTTTCTTACTCTTTCTTCAAGATCACCCCATGCAACGTGCCTCTACCCTAAAAATGACACCTAATCTTGTATCATAACTCCATAAGCCCCTCTCCAGCCAGGCAGTGACAGGATATGCTCAATGCAGAACCTGTGCCTCAGTAACCGTCATCATACCAAGCTCACTAAATCAACCTTCATCTCCTCCACAGGAATTAAAACCATACTAATCCCCTGCTGAATCTCGCAGATTAATTTTATTATATGCCTCTTATCTACAAATGCATTATTGTCTCCTTCAGTATGGATTTTTTATTAGGCAGAGGAAGTTAAGTTAAAAACCAAAATTATCTCAATTCAACTGTTGTTAGCCCATCACCCAAAAACACGACTGACTGGAAAAGTCTTTTCCTAATAAATGCCATGATTCTTGCTTCATTCTGCATGTGTGCCTGGACTGCCTCAAGAGATGGAGAGGGGATTTATGTAGTGAGTGTTTGGTTCAACCTCTGGATAAAGGTATGCAGTTCATCCTGTCAGTGCTAGAACTGCAGCCAAATGCAGTCAGTCCTATAAGCATACAGAAAATCAGACCTGGAAAACATATAGGGAAAAGTTGAAAGGTAGGTTTTATAACTCAAAACAAGCTCATCAAGACACTGAAAGGGATGTGAGCCCACCTCAGGCTGACTTTCCTACTCAGTACCTGAAATTCAGTGCTCAAAGTGAACAATCCTCTTAATTTTGACACCAAATATAAAAATGAAATAATTGGAGCTCACAATTAATTCTAAACCGATTTCCCACCAAGAGTGCACAGTTCACATTTCAAAGATAAGTAAGTATTCCTCTACTCAAAATAATGAGGTTGCAGCCCAAAACCCTACCACACACTTTACCTACACTGTTGTAACCTGCCTCCTCTCTGGTCATAAATCCTGCTGGGCTTCTGACACCAAGGCTGTTTTCACCAGGAAGTTTCCCGATCCATCTTTCAACCTTTGTACCTCACCCCCTCAGCCCTTTCTAATACATCAAAAGCAAGTCTCTGACCCCTGCCATGCCTGACTTGTTAGATCTACCATCTCGTCACCCATTGCTCACCCACATCTGCTCTTCAAACAATGCTTGAGCAGGTACGAGGAGGCAGCACAGCCAGGCATAGGGAGTAGGAGTATGAACGATGTTTGAGAGCATGGTATCTATTATCTCTGGCCATGGTAAATTGTGCAAGCCATTTTGTATGCTTGAATCTTTTTGTCTGAAAATGGTTGGTTTACCTCATCAGCTGAAAAATCCTGAAAAGACAGAAAGGCCTCTACCAAGAACTAGATGCAAAGAGCAGCCGGGGTTCTTTCCTTCCACCCATCTCCTTCTTTTACTTCATTTTGTCTGACCACGTCAAAGTAATTGACGTTTATATACTTCTTACGTTAAAATACTTCTTATTATTTACTTCTAACTCTACACCAGCAAAACACACAATTAGGCAGATAACGAACTGGGATTATTGTTTTTGTGCAAGTTTTACCCATCAATCCCTAACTTTCTTTTTCCTTCTGTCTTCTCATTGCTTGTGCACACATTCCATTTTGCCATTTTCTTCACCTTGCATTAACAAGAGCAGGATCAGGATATTTATTAGTTGAGAGATGCTGACTCCCTTGGATTAAGAGCTAAACTAATCTTATGGAGATGATTCATGCTCCAGAAAACTTGTATTTATTGTCTTTTCTCTTGAAATAGAAGTGCTACAGAGACCACAAATGAGCGAAATAGTACAGATGAAAAGTAACTAAGTTAGTACACAATAATTAGCTGCTTTCAATAACATTGAACAACTTTCAATGTTAGGCAGATAGGAAAACTGTTGTTACACATTATTCCCAAGCTAAAGAAACATCTTGTCATTTCTAATATCTACGGGCAACTTCTGTGTTTCTCTTTTTAAGGTAAGAAAATAACATCTACTCCCCACCCCAATAACTACTCTCCTTAACTTAGCTTCTTCCCTCATTGGAAAGAAGCCCTCAGGCTTATCATTGGAATTTTCACTCCATATAACACAACTGTAACCGAACCTTCCTAAGCTAGCACTTCATTTCCTGGAAAGGAACAGAGAGTATTTCTCAAATTACTGGACCCATTGTTCACGCTATACTACAACATTTTATATAAAAGTTGAATCATCTCCTGTTTTGCAAACTGTTTTGTTACCTGTATCTGTAGTATCCCTAGCACAACGTGCCCTCTGCCAATGAAAACATCAAACTCTTCTAACCTTATTTGTACTGTAAAACAATCTGTCCTGCTGTGCAATGGCTCCACTGGCTTGAATCAATCCACCACAGGATTTAGACAGTCGGAACTGGCCAGCCTTGCGTCTCTAGTAAAAGTGATAAAAGATAAAACAAAAAAAATGAAGAGATCATTGACTAGTACACACTTAACTTTACACCACACTTTACACTTGGTTTGCTTCCAAGTCAATTACAGTTCAGTCTAATCCTGAAAAACTTTATATTACAAAAAAGACAAATTCATTATTGTAACTGTTACAAACAAAATGGTTGTCCGTGCTTAATGCCCTGCACCACACATTTTCTAGTGTCCTGTAAACGTACTACTGACAGAATGGGCTGGCAGAACAAGCCACTCTCAAAAATCACAGGGTATCTGCTTTGATTTTCTCACACACTACTTCTAGTCACAGGTTTTGTCTCTTAATAAAGAATAATTGTTTTTCCTGGCCTTGCAGAGAAACAGAGATTATGCTATCTTTATCTACAGCTTTCTAGTCAATTCAATTTTCTTTGTGGCCAGGACTTGAGCAAAACAAACAACATGTATTATTTATCACCCCAACCACTGTAACTTCACAGCACATGATTTGTATTACAGAGTTACTGCACAATAAAGACAACTATGAAGCAGGGGTGAGTGGGATCTCCAGATAAGAGATGCACACTGAATAGAACACCTATCATAGCCTCCCAGCACACACAGCTTAGCAGTAACTTGTTTATTCATAAATTCAAACAAAGTAAATATGCTGGTTTGTTCAGAGTTGTCATCCCCAGAAGTCTACTGAATCTACTGGCAGCTCAGAGTAAGCTCAACTTAATCAACTTCACAACTGCTCATTTCCTTCTCTACTCCCCACATCGTATGCTACTTCATATGGACTGGTGCTTTAACAGTATGGTTGTGTCACAAAAGCACAGGCAGTTTTTCCAGGACCAGGTGGTCTTATCTGAGAAAAGACATCCAAGCCAAAGAACTCAGAGGTAATGAAAAAATTCTGTAAGTCATGGCTCTAAGACACAAGTTGTACTACACAGGAGGCCAAAGAAGCAGCTAAATCTCATCTTGTTTCATTGTACACAAGAAGAAAACACCAAGAGATATAGTCCAATTCTGTTCAGATAGCATGCATGTATTCCCATTTTCTACAAGTTTCACCACTTCATTAACAACTGCTTTTACATGATGTTCTAGTTGACTTACTACAGACAGACACAATCTGACGCTATGTGTGCTGTTTCAGAACTGGAAACAGAACTGAAAAAGTGTTTTCCACTGAACCAACAGAATTTAATGTGCAGTGTGAGGTAAACATACCATCAGTAGTAGAAAGTCCAAGGCTACTGTACAGTGGAGACATTCTGTAAAACAGAATGCTGGAAATGACACACAATCATGACTAGCATGTAACAGCTGCTTTGGAAAAATGACATCTACATTTGGACTTCTGCATTTTATCTACTCACAACAGATCATTTGGATCCACTAGAAGTCTACATAGCTGGAATGAAGACAACTGTGTAATAAAGAGTAGGAGCTCACTCTTCTAGCAGCAGAAAGCTTTTGTTAGCTTCATACTTCAGCAATACACAGCCACTGAAGACATCACTTTTAGAAGCCTCTTTATTTAAAAAACATGACTTTTTCCTACTATTTATCCTTTTTGGGGGTTGTTTGGTTGTTTTTTTAACACAGTTTAACACACTCTGATATCCTACCTGGAAAATACCATAGAGCATCCGTCTATGCTGACCTTGGACTGCAGCCATCTGTAATGATCCACTGCATGCTGCTATGCACTGAGTTACTCCCACCTGGCAGCTCTGGAACAGAGAGATTAACAATGAAGAAAAGGACCCTAATACTCAGAAAGTTTAACTGTCCTCCTGCTACCACAAGTTTTATTCATTTATACAACAATCCTCAGATTAAATTCCCAACTTGCACTTGACAGAAGTATAAATTTTGACTTTAAAAAACCCTTGCCTTCCAGTACAAGCATGCAACCCAAGTCTGATGGCAGAAACAGACCAGTCAAAGGGAACGGTGGGCTGTCTACACCATAACACTACACCACAACTTTTACACCTACATGATAAATTCAAATGCTTAAGAAGCACTCTTCAATTGACTGCGTGATGTCTAAAAAGCCCTCACCCAACTCTCATTTTTTAGGCATCTTTGTCTTACTTTACTCAGGCACAGCTAAGAATTTTAGTATTTCAGAAGTGTATATTATACCAATACATTTCAGTGGAGATAATTATTTTCTGTAATGAAAATGTCAGGTAATACAGAAAAGAGGTGGAATTTTCTTTGCACCTTTCATTTTCTGCAATGTTCAGGTTAGTACAATATTTGCCTCCTTCACACATGTTCTACATTATTATTGGAAATAACGTGTATATTACTAGAAAGGATATGCTTTTTTCCTAATAAAGACAGCTTCATTTTCAATTGACCACAAAAATGATTAAGAGATTGAAGCATCCAACACATGAGGAGAGGTTTAGCTTTGAGAAAAGAAGGCTCCAGGGAAATCTTATCAATTTATATAAATACCTGATGGGGTGGGTGGTCAAACTCTTCTTAGAGGTGCCCAATGAAAGGACAACTATGAGACTAGCAGATCTGCTCAAAGACTAGGAGGAACAAACACAAAACCAGCTTGAGTTCCTGTTCCCCATTCCCTGTACCTGCAGTCACTACTGTCCCTCAGGTGCAGTGTACTGCCTGCACTTTCAATCCATTAAGGGAATTGATTTGGATTTTTAAAAACTGTGAGGGGAGAGATGCACTACCGTAACAAACGTGATTAGTGTCCACTACTACTACACCTTCCCACTGTTACTGAGTGTACTTCTTGTACTTCAAGTACTTCTTGAGGTAATCCAGTGCTCTTACATAAACAGTTTAACAAACACTTAAGTGATAAAGTCACTATTTTTTATAAATAAACATTACAGGACACCTGACAGAATTTTTGAAGGCTTTTTCTTTGTAAAAAGAATGAAAACATGCCTAGACTGCAATGCATTAGAGCTTGAATATACTGGGGTTTATAGCTGTTGAAAAGCACTACTGCAACAAAACTAGGCAGAGATATATGAAAACATAAGATAAGCATACACACACTTCAAAGGTGAGATGTGATAAACAAACAAGTAATAAAGACAGCAGAAAGCAGCAGAGCAACAGAAAAGGAACACGATGAGCTAAGGAATCCTCCCTAAATCAGCATCATTGTTTGCAGAACATAAGCTTCCTTTCAAAGTACACGTGCCACTTTTATTTCTTGATCTGGCTGAAAGAAAATGTACCAAGCATAAACTGAACAGGATTACTCAGAATAGTCTGCAGACAGTGCAAGCACCTCCTGCAGCCAGTTGCCTTGTCAAGACACAGATGCAAGAATATCACTTACGTCTTCTAAATCGTCCTGGCAACCATTAGGAAAGCCTTAGGCAGAAGACAAACTATTCACCAAGATCTCTTCGTAGGTAAAGAACAGCTTTATTATAAAGGCAGTAAGTATTAACTAGTAGAGCTGAAATGTTTGGACAGTATCAGGACTATCATACGCGGTGAGCTCCTTAGAAAGCTTGAAGACAGAAGAATAAAAAAATTTCCTTTCTTATATAGTACAAGGAAGAAACTGAAAGTTTTAAGACTTATTTTCATGCAATCGGGCAACTATTAAATTCTAATGCAAAAGCAGATGCTGGGAAATGCCAAGGATCAGCAAAGCTTAAGCTGAAGCATGTTGTTCCTGTCACAAGTCCCCTGCCTCCCAACTGTGTACTCCCACTTCTTACTACAGCTCAGGTGCTTGCCCAATTACAAAGTAAGGCACTTCAGGTCACAAAAATACCAAAAAACTACATCTCCTCCCCTCCAGAGAAAAATTTTTCTGGCCAGGCTGTGAAACTGAATCAGCTTGCTTTGCCATATTGAATGCCAGAAGCACTTGGGAAGAGGAGGAGTTGCCCAGGGACAGGTAAGCCTAAGAGACAAGTCCTTCACCTTCTGCAAGAAGATCTTCATTACAAACTGCACTCTGTGGGTACAGCTCCACAGACAGCTGAAGCCATCTGGTGACTCACTGCCACTCTACTACTCGCCCTGCTGCCCTCCTGCCTCGCTTCTGTCTTCCCTTTTTGCTAGCGATTGCCTCTTTAACACATTAAAACTGCAGAAAACTATTTTTATGTTGCCACAGTTCTGCTTCTCCAGCATTTGGAGCATAGGGGCCAAGAAAAATGCTGGAGGAGGTAACAGTAGGCCAGCAGTGCAAAAAAATGAGCAAGGAGAAAGAGCAGGAATTGGAGGACAAAGCAGGAATCAAGGTCACTGCATTTCAGTGGCACTTGGGCAGATTTCAGCCTGAGTGCTAAATGGGCAGGGCTCAGCACACTTGTAAAAAGCACACCGAGACACCAGTTCCAAGAACCCTGAGGATTAATTTCCTGAGTGGGTACTGCCCTCAGATTAAACATCTTTCCTCTTCTTGAGGAATCCGTCTTCATCTAGTAGCACTGGCTACCCCTGTAATTGTGTTGTGACAGCATTCAGACCCAGGCACGAACCTCCCTTTTCTACACTGTACGCTAAGAAGTGGTCCTCTGCTGCAAAGATTTTAAAAGCTAACAGAAAGGGGAAAAAAAAGTACACACATGCATGAGAAAGAAGAGTTGCATGATTAGTAATCCATTCTCATTCATAGGAACCCAATCTACTCCCCCTACCACCGAAATTGGAACCTTTATATTATATCCTTGCCCTCAAACACCTCTGAAGTGAAGAGGGCATGTCTAAGAATGGCAATCCCCACCCCACCGGGTGCGTACACTGTACCCATAACAACACGAGAAGCACCAGACTGAAAACAAATGCCCCGGGCCCTAGTCAGGAGTACTAAAGCCCTGCATAATTCCTACATAAACACCAACTCTGCTCGACCCGCC